AGAGGAAGTATTGGTCCCAAGAATTTCACCTTGCTTGGATCCACCGTCAAGAGAGCAAATGCTCTATGACCTTGGGTAAATCTGCTGCACAAGGCCTCTTTCCGGTGTTGAAAAGCAAGGCTGTTAATTTGAGGATTATGGTGTTCCTGACCCATGCTGCGGTATTTTCAATCGGCGCATATAAGTGCGAAATTTAGATGCTGAATGAGGAAAATCAAAGAAAAATTGGCAACAGTTGCATTACAGTGGCGTGAAGAACGTTGAGAGTACCGTGCATGGCCAAAACAACAAACAGGTCTGTCTTGGTAGAAGTGCAGCCAGGATGCTCCTTAGAGGCCAGGGTGGAGAGACGTCCGCTCATGTACTCTGGACGTGTCAGCAAGACAGACCAGTCCGAGGAGGACATCATGGGGGCGAAAAAGAAGACCCTTATGGAGTGGATTGGCTCGGTGCCTGCGACAAGGAGCTCCAACATCAGAACCATTGTGAGGAGGGCGCAGGACTGAGCGGGGTCTCGTGCAAGCAACGGCAAGGACATCTCACAGCAGCATCCAGGCACGGGGCCTCCAGGTCTGGGAGTCGCCCCTGTGCTTCCAGGCCTTGACTTCAGTGCTCTTGGCTGACCGGCTTCACCAACCTGCAAAACGTCTGGTATCCAACAGCCTTTCTTAGAGTCCCTTCTGCCCCGCATGGCAGTGTTCCTCCTAGGGTAACATGCTCACGGACCCTGTGGGTCCCGTGTAGGTCATGGCACGTTTCTGCCCAAGCAAGCCTCTGTTTTCAGTGTTTGCTGAGCTGAGGGATCTATCACCCAGAATTTGGACTGGTTGAACGAACACTTTGCTTGATCTTTGGACGGTGTTGACATAAGTCTGCCTGCCCACCCTCTCAGCACCCTTTGAGAACCCTGTCCTGACTCATGAGTGCGATGTAGTGTCTTGTTATCCGGGTAGGCTGAGAATTTCTCAAATCATCAAGTCCTGGTTCCGTTCTGTCTCTCAGGGTTTCCTTCAGTCGATCTTGAACTTCACAAAGCAAAGGAAGGTGCACCTTCAACACGCTGCTTGGAAAAGCCATCCGTTCCATACTGGAGTTCACCGCTTCCAAGCTTATCCTGCAGGGTCCAACTCGGCTAGGCTTTCGGACACAACCTGAGAAGGATCCCCCTTCCTTCAGTTCCCAACAGGTCCCTGGATTTCCTTCTGAGCCTCCACTGGCAATGCCTTCAGCTTCCCGTCTCCACGAGAAGGCACCTGTAGGTATTTTAGGTGACTAGGTATCTCCACCAAGCTCCTCACGGTCATCGAACGCTCCCACAGGAGTCCTCCCAGCCTCTCCTCATTGTCCAGGCTCAGAGCCATGCCCACTATGGTAGGCATTTGTTAGCCCAGCGTCCCGTGCCTGGTGCAAAACCTACATCTGCCAACAAACTCCACAGCTTATAACACCAATCTGTCACCTCATGGGGTCCAGACCAGGAAGCAGTCGTTCCGACAGAAGAGGGGACTGTGTGTGGTGGTTTACAATCAGGAAAGGTGGGCCGGGCTAGCCTTTCACTACACGTATCCAGTCTGTGCGGAGTGATTGGCCAGAGAAGCCGCCCTGTGTGAGGCAGCTGCGGGCGTCAGCACTGGGGACACGCAGCGACGCGCTGCAGTCCGAGTCACCATCTGGCCTGCTGAATGCGCAGAGGGCTGGTCCACACTTGGTGGGGAGGAGCCTGCCTCCGTGTGGAGAGCCGACCAGCGCACTAACACAGAGAACAGGCGGCGTGGTCACGGCTTTCGTTTGACTTGATCTGTCGAGCAGAGCGGAGCCGTGGTGGCACGAGGGTCATGCGCTGGGCTGTTCACTGCAAGGTCAGCAGTTCCAGACCAGCAGCTGCTCCTCGGGAGAAAGTCAGGGCTTTCTACTCCCACGGAGAGTGACCGTCACTGGAGCTCGGCCTCCCGGGAACGTCAGGGGCAGCAGTTCTCCCGCACAGGCCAGGATGGCTAGGAGTGGGCATGGACTCAACTCGATGGCAGTGGGTTGGCAACCAGGAAGAGGCTTGAGGCTACAAGGTCTTCTTGTGGGTCTCCCCGGCGAGTTTCACATGAGGGACCATAGTCCCTCTGTTCAGACCAGAGCCAGAGAGGAGGTTTCAATAGAACAAGTTCATTAATGGGGTGCTGCAGTGTGGAACACTGCAAGACCCCCGGCTCACCTGAGAGCCCCCAGCTCACCTGAGCCCCTGCCGGATGTGAGATCAGGATTTTTACGCTGTGCTGGCGGCTGCCTCTCCAAAGTGCCCTTTCCTTTGCAGGGATGCCCTGGAGGCAGGCCAATCCAGATCCTTCCTGCGCTCCCACCCTCTCCTTCTTTATTGATTGGGAGACACGTCTTCTGGACCCCCATCCTCACCTGTTTGGTGTTGGAAAGCCCTCTCACTTTTCTTCCCCCTCCTGGCCCGATCGGTCCACCGGGCAGACCCACAAGCTGTGCCCATGGGAGCCGGCCGGGAAGCGGGCAAACCAGTGCTCGAAGTGAGAGCCTGACCCAGACCAGGGCCACACCATCGCCTGTGTGCCGGAGAAGCGGGTGCCGGACGGAAGAACCGATGCCTGGTGAAAGGTCTCACGCTTCGTAACGTGGGCGAGCGGGGTGGGGGTGACGCAGACCTGGAATGAGATGGGTTCCCACACAGCAGCCGCCAAGAACGCGGTGGAGGGCCTGCTGCTGCGCTCACAGTTGCCACAGACCAAGATGGACTTAAAGGCACGTAAGGACGCCACGTAAGGAAGGCAGCAGGTTCCTTGCTGGGGGTGGGGCATCCTTTTGTCTAACGTCCCCAGGATAGCCAACATGGGGCTGGAGCCAGGCTCAGGGAGGGACAGGTGAGTGGGCCAGGGGCAGAGCTGGGTGGGACTCAGCCCTGAGGCTACCCACCTTCTGGTGAGCCCATCACTTCCCACTACAGGCTGGTAAGCAGGCAGGGATGGGCCAGCCTCCTAGTCCCTTGAGGTGTGAGCCAGAGAAGGCACTGAGCCCCACAACCCACCCGACTGGCCCACCACTGGCCAGTCAGTCCACCTAAGAGCCCTCAGCCCCTCCTCGCCGTGACCTCCTGAGTCTTCCTTCCCCAGGCGGTGGCTCAGGAGACAGGTCAGATCATCCTGCATCCGGCATCATTGCATGTTTCGTGGGTCTGAAGAGGGGACTTTATAGATTAGTATCAGACATATGGGCTAATATCAGACTTATGTATGGAGTTGATCTGGACTGGGATGGGATATTTTCTCAATATTCAATTGCTCTTGTATATAAAGCTTTCTTATGCACATGAGTTTCAGTGGATTTGTTTCTCTAGTCTACCTGGACTGACACAGCCAGGTCTCCCCCATCCCCGGCCAGTGGGGGCCCACATAGCAAGTGCACCCAGCCCCTGTAATCTACCCAGTGAATCTGCTCCTGTGAGCGGTGGAGGCTGCGCCATGGTCGGTCCCCCAGGGAGAGACGTGGCAGGGAGGCTGAGGGTAAACCGAGGGCAGGGACTATCAGGACCCTGCGGAGGGGAAGCAGTGCCAGGCCTGGAGCCGTCCTCCTTACAGAGCACTGCGCATCTCAGGGAACAAGGCCTTGCCTGTGGGCGGGTCTGTGGGGGAAGGGCTGAGGGTGAGGCCCGAAGTTGGGACTGGACATGGTGAGGTTCAGCACTGGCTCCTGAGTGTCCTGGGGGAGGGAGGCGGGTGGTGTACAGGACAGGTGCCCAGAGAGCGTCACAGGTCATCAGGTGACTCAGGCAGAGCCTCTGAGGCAGTGTGCGGAGGCCGGCTGGGCAGCCTCTACCCGATTCCAATGCCAGATCCCGGCCCGGGCCTGGACTTGAGAGTGATTCCAGGCCCCAGCGACTCCTCTGCCACAGAGCGAGTGGAGCGAGTGAGTGAGTGAGTGTGTGTGTGTGTGTGTGTGCAGAAGGGCCGGGATGAGTGAGTGAGTGAGTGAGTGATTGTGCAGCAGAAGGGCCGGGATGAGTGAGTGAGTG